CCGCCCCCCCCAGCTCCACCCGCGCCCTTGCCTCCCTTGCCCTTGCTGGAGCGACGTCTCCCACTAGGGGCAGACGCCGCGCCGACCGACTCAAGACCCAGCAGGTCGGCAGCAGCAGCAGAGGCAACAGAGGGCAGCAAGGGGGAAGGAGAGCACCCCTCAAAGATGGGGGTGCGAGGGTCACCACGAGAAGCACCTACAGCGACTATGCTCTTCTCCGCTGCAAGGAGGGCCTTCTCGAGGAGGTCGACGGTGAGAGTGGTGGGACAGACTGCGAGAAAGTGGTCCCTGACGACACGAAGGGGGTCAGGGAGGCGCGCGACTACGTAGTAGAGAGCGATGTACATGGGAGGGGGGTTCTTAGCGCAGAACTCAGCAGGAAGGGCGGCGCGGTAGCGAGTGTCACTAGTGCGGAGGTGCGTAATGAGGTCAGCGACAGTGGGAAAGGCAGAGAGGTCAGGAAAGAGGTAGGGAAGCATGAGACGGCTCAGTGCAGCAGTGGCAGGGGAGGAGTAGCGCGCAACTACAGCGTCGTACAAGGTCTGAGCACTCTTGTACTGACTAAAGTGCGCACGCTCAGAGGTAGGGAGGTGGCGACGCACAGCAAGACGTGCAGCAGCATCGCGGGTGGCCCACTTAGAGCGGACAGCGGGATCAGCATCAGCAGCAGGAGCAGGAGAGGCGCCAGAGGTGAGGTCAAAGAGAGAAAGGTCATCAGCCCTGTCGCACTGTAAGAACAGCTGCAGGTCGTCTAGCCAGACCTCAAAATCAATGGCGCGACCCTCAGCGTCAAAAGCTAGGACACTAGGGGTAGCCATGACGACGACTGTGAAGCAGTGCAAGCAGTAGGGGGGGAGAGCACGCAGTGACAGTGGGACTGTGCTCACCAGGCAGGGCAGGTCGCGCAGCTCGACAGAAAAGCAGAACGGCGACCGGGCGGCTCGGGTGTACAGCGGATCGGCTCCCGGGCGGCTCGACGGCAGGGCGGCTCGGGTGCAGGGCGGCTCGGCTCCCGGGCGGCTCGGCTGCAGGGCGGCTCGGGTGCAGGGCGGCTCGGCTCCCGGGCGGCTCGGCTGCAGGGCGGCTCGGGTCCCGGGCTGCTCGGCGACAGGCGGCTCGGGTCGCGTAGAAGTGAGACGGGGCGGGGCCGCGTCAGGGCCGGCGGTAGGGCCGCGTAGGAGCCGGGGCAGGGCCGCGAAGGAGCCGGGGCGGGGCCTTGATAGGAGCCGGGGCAGGGCCGAGTAGGAGGCCGGCGGTGGGGCCGCTTAAGGGGCCGGCTGCGGGGCCGAGTAGGAGCCAGCTGCGGGGCCGCGTGAGAGCCGGCGCGGGGCCGCGTAGGAGCCGGCGCGGAGCCGCGTAGGGGCCGGGGACGGGCCGCGTAAGGAGCCGGCGCGGGGCCGCGTAGGAGCTGGCGGCGTGGCCGCGTAAGGGCCGCGTAAGGGGCCGGCGCGGGGCCGCGTAAGGAGCCGGCGACGTGGCCGCGTAAGGGCCGCGTAAGGGCCGTGTAAGGGGCCGGCGCGGGGCCGCGTAAGGGCCGCGTAGGAGGCGACGCGGGGCCGCGTAAGGGCCGGGGCGGGGCCGCGTAAGGAGCAGGCGGCGGGGCCGCGTAAGGAGCAGGGCGGGGCCGCGACAGAGTGGGCGGCGAGGCCGCAGGGGAGAGGGCGACTCGAGGGGTCGCTAAAAAAATCGCGCCTCGGGGGCGCGCTTCGGTGGGCCCAAAAAAAAATTTCGGTCCTGGAGGGACCTAGCTCTATACCATGTGTAAATGAGTAAGCAGGAATGAATGGACTATGAATGAAAGCAGTACAAATATGAAACCCTAACTGGGTTGTACCCCCTATGGGATACCCCACTACAGCCTACACAGCAGTATAAGCTATAGATATGTTCTGACAGTGGTCGACGGAAACGAGGAATGAGGAGCGGCGCACTATCGCCCCTCAACGCAGGGAAGGCACGGCGGTGCAAGCAAGCGCGGGAGCGGGGGCAGGGACCTGGGGAGGCCAGAGATAAGGAGACAAGGAGACGAGAGTGCATGCCACGCAAGTGCGGCAGGGAGGGGTGACCAAGACGGTGGTGCCAGAGGAAAGTCTGGTGCGAGAGTAGCTGGCACGAACAAGACGCAGCTAACTGACCCGATGCAGCTTCCTGACCCGACGCAGCTACCTGTGCAGACTCAGTGGTCAGAGTGTACATGCCAAACCCAGGGCACCGACTGAACATGGCGAGGTGCTCGCCAGTGTGTGAGTCTATACAGATCACCACGAGCTCACCCCCAGGAGTAGTCACAGTGACAAACTGGTCCTAGAGGACTGCAACATTCACCAAGTTCTTAGAGAACGAGGGGAGGTGGAAAACTATTAGGGAGCCTGAGGGGGCTGCCAGGCACGGGAGAATTGTGAAGGCATGTGCTACAATTAGGCCCCTAGAGAGGTCAGCCAGATAGACCGGGACAGGTGTAGCGAGCAGTGTGATTGTGGTGCAGTCACGGAAAAAGCAGCGAGTCGCGCCTGAGTCAAGCGTGAGGGTGTGCAAAGCCTCTACAGAAACTGCACCTGTACTACTAGGCTCACATGCACCTAAACTAGTAGCCTCTGCACTACCAGGGATGTGTCGCTCAGAAACCCACTCGCAAGGTTGCTGCGGTGCTATCTAGTACCTCCACCACCATAACCTCCACCACGAGGACGGCCTCGTTGAATAACCCACTCACGAAGCTGCTATGCCAAGAGAGTCTTATGGCGACGAGACTGCCGCTGCTGTCTAGTATCGCCAGCACACATGAAACCATAACCTCCACCACGAGGACGGCCTCGCTGAATAATCTACTCGCGAAGCTGCTGCGGCGATAGATTCAGTGCTGCTGCCGTCCACCGCCAGACGCTGCTACGACTGTGATAGTGGCTATGAGAGGCAGTGGCAGTCAGTAGCAGTAGCGCAAGGGCGTTAGAAGCGACCACTGTAGTTGCAGCTGTAGCAGTAGCGGTAGTCGCTGTAGTGGCAGGGCAGCGCACAGGCTGGAGGGCTGGGCGGCGCACAGGCTGCAAGGCAGGGCGGCGCGCAGGCTGCAGGGCATGCGGGTAACACGCCAGTGCATCGCGCCGGCTGCAGGGCAAGGCGGCGTGCGGGCTGCAGGGTAGGGCAATGCGCGGGCTGCAAGGCAGGGCAGCGCGTGGGCTGCAGGGCAGGGCAGCACGCGGGCAGCAGGGCAGGGCAACGCGTGGGCTGCAGGGCAGCGCAACACGCGGGCTGCAGGGCAGGGCCGCGCACGGGCTGCAGGGCAGGGTGGCGTGCGGGCTGCAGGGCAGGGCGGCGCGTGGACTGCAGGGCAGCAGGGCGTGGGCAACAGGGCAGGGCGCGCGTAGGCAACGTGCGTGGGCAGAGCACGTGCAGGTAGGGTGCCCGTAGGCAGCGCGCGTGCAGAAAGAGCGCGCGTGGGCAGTGCGCGTGCGGGCAGGGCGCAAGCTGCATGCGTGCATGGCGCAGGTCACGCGCGGCGAGCAGGGCAGCGCGTGGCGAGCAGGACAGCGTGCGGCAAGCAGGGCAGCGTGCGGCGAGCAGGGCTGCGCGTGGCGAGCAGGGCAGGGCGCGGCGAGTAGGGCAGCGCGCGGCGAGCTGGGCAGTACGGGCAGCAGCGCAGCACGCGCGGCAGCAGGGCAGCGTGCGGTAGGGCAGCGCAGGGCAAGGCAGCGCGATAGCGCTGGGCAGGGCAGGGCAGCAGCTCGCGGCGAGCAGGGCAGCAGCTCGCGGCGAGCAGAGCAGCGCACGACGGCAGCAGCTCCTGGGGCAGTACGTATGGCTAGTGGGCCCTAACGGAGCGGTCCTACAGAGGGACCTGCTCTGAATACCATCTCAGAAATAGAAGGTAGGAAGGATTGACTATTAGGGAAGAGTGAGTACAAGTACTAGGAATGACATAAGGTGTTGTACTCCTTAGAGTATGCCCCACTACAACCTAGAGATAACAAATGCAAATTGACAACAACTTTGCTGGATCGTCGAGGGGCGCGGGGTCGAAGCGATTAACGTGCGATAGAATTCAACTTTGCACCAAAACAGAAAACTCTCAGCCCAAATCTCCACCATGGCTCCTAGGATAACTTCAAATTAGAGGACGTTCTTAGCTGGTGTCAAAATTCGGGCCAAGCTGCTTGATACGAGGAAGAATTGACATGTATGAGGAAAAAAATATGGTTTGTGTCAGACCACCCGGGGGGTTTGACACCAAGCAAACTTGGTCAGAAGTTAGACACCAGCCAAGAATGTTCCCGCAAAGCTCGCGTCTCCAATTTCCAACTGTTTAACACTTGGTTGGGTTTGCCCTTTGGGTAATGAATGGTGAAATATTTGACGAGTGGGTGAAAAAAACACAGCGAACTCTCCAACAGTCGAGGCCAAAACAAATCAGGATGGGTTGGTTTCGGGGGAAAACGAGCCAAGGGGACATGTTTGACCATAATTGAGAACTGTGCGACCCACCTTGTCATCGCAAGGACATCGCACGTTGATAGAAGTCTTATGTCAGCAAATGAGTGCCCACACCAAGCAACCATATCCCGGTCGCTGAGCTGTAGGAACACCGGAATAAAAACAAGGTAAGCATGCATTCCCTTGAAAGGAGAGAAGTGCAGAATGAGATACCGGAATGGCTAATTGAGAATACGACGGAAGGAATGAGAGGAAGAAGGGCGGAATGCAAGTAGTTATGGATGAAGGATAGTGGGACCGGTAGAATGAGAGTAGGGATGGGAGGTTATGGCATAGGGGAAAGGGAGGTTATGGCATAGGGGAAAGGGAGGTGCTGAGATGAGGGAAAAGAGAGTAGTTGGCGCGAGGGGAACGAGTGGAACAGGCATAAAAAAACATGATGGGGCGGAATGCGAGTAGGTGACATGATGGGGCGGAATGCGAATAGTAAGGGCAGAATGAGTGGAAGAAGGGCGAAGAGAGTAGTAGAGGGGGAATGAGAGGGAGGTGAGTGTATGGGGGAGGGGAGGAGGTCACCAGGTGGGAAGGGGTGTGAGGGGGAAACGGGGTGTGAGGGGGAAAGGAGGTGCAGTCCGAGGGGGAAGGGAGGTGTCGTATGTTACGTAAGGGAGTTGAGTGCATGGGTTAGGGGAAGAGGCCGCCAGAGGGGAAGGGGTGCGATGGGGAGGGGGAAAGGAGGTGCCGTCCGAGGGGGAAGGGAGGTGTCGTCTCTCACGAAAGGGAGGTGAGTGCATGGGGGAGGGGAAGAGACGGCGAGTGGGGAAGGGGTGTGATGGGGAGGGGGAAAGGAAATGCTGTCCTAGCGGGAAGGGAGGTGTCATCCCTCACGAAAGGGAGGTGAGTGCTTGGGGAAGAGACGGCAAGTGGGGAAGGGGAGTGATGGCGAGGGGGAAAGGAGGTGCAGTCCAAGGGGGAAGGGAGGTGTCGTCCCTCACGAAAGGGATGTGAGTGCATGGGGGAGGGTAAGAGGGAGCCAATTGGGGAAGGGATGTGAGTGCAGGGGGAAGGAGAAGAGGGAGCCAGGGGGGAAGGGATGTGATGGGGAGGGGGGCAGGAGGTTCTGTCTGAGGGGGAAGACCCTTGTTGTCCCGAGCGACAGGGAGGTGAGTGCCTGGGGGAGGGGGGGGGAGAGGTGGCCAGGGGGAAGGAGTGTGATGGGGAGGGGGAAAGGAGGTGCTGTTCAAGGGGGAAGGGAGGTGTCGTCCCTCATGAAAGGGAGGTGAGTGCATGGGGGAGGGGAAGAGGCGGCCAGGGGGGAAGGGGTGTGATGGGGAGGAGGAAAGGAGGTTTTTGTCCGAGGGCGAAGGGAGGTGTCGTCCCTCACGAAAGGGAGGTGAGTGCATGGGGGAGGGAAAGAGGCGGCCAGGGGAGAAGGGGTGCGATGGGGAGGGGGAAAGGAGGTGCAGTCCAAGGGGGAAGAGAGGTGTCGTCCCTCACGAAAGGGATGTGAGTGCATGGGGGAGGGTAAAAGGGAGCCAGGGGGGAAGGGATATGAGTGCATGCAGGAGGGTAAGAGGGAGCCAGGGGGAAAGGGATGTGAGGTCAAAGGGGGAAGGGTGAGGTCAGTAGGGAGAAGGGATGTGTCTCAGGAGGGGAAGGGTGAGGTCAGAGAGGGGAAGAGCTGTGAGGTCACAAGGGGAATAGAGAGGTCCGAGGGGGGATTGAGGTGAGATCAAAGGGGGAAGGGAGGTGAGGTCGAAGTGGAAGATAGTGTGGGTACATGCAAAATGACACCACCATTCATGGACCTCCTTGGTTCTCCCTAGGCCCTCTCATTGCACTAACTTACTGAAACACCTTCCCATCCCCACCTATGCCCTGCATCTCTGTGTCCCATGCTGAAGGTTGCCCAAAGATGTATCGCTAGGATCAGCGACGGCGTCGTAGGAACCTGCCGGGGTTTTAGGGTGATAAATTGAAGGAGAGGAGGATGACGAGGAGGGTATGGAGGGATAGGATGGTCAAACATCTCCTGAGGCATCCCGAACCTCTAGAAGCAGCGGTCGTGTACCCGGTCGCTCAGTGGTCGCTAGCAGTTGGCGGCCCGTTCACATGGTGCCCTGACATAGGGTGAGTTGTCAATGCTAAGGAATGTTGGGGAATGACCCAATTCGCTAGGGAATGTCGAAATCAACACCATGTGCTTTTTCAGTGGGCCATGTATCTTCTTTGTTTGATGCAAGAGCGTGAGGAGGCTGACAAAAGGGTTACTGTTGAGAGTGTCCTGCGTATCTGTCTCCGGAAGAACACGTCACAGGATGTAGACGGGCATAAAATTGTCGCTAAAAATCACAGATTTTGTTGCTATGTAGAGTACTCCAGGCTGCTAGCGGACCACACTCACGCACCTATTACATTGCCATGGCTGGTATATGTAGTTATAGGGTTACTTTATCCGCAGCTGACCGGGGAAGGTTATGTAGGGTGTAGCCAGTCTGATATAGATTGGTTCACGTCCTCAACAATCCCGAGCGAGATCAACTTTAGCGTGAGCAGCAGAGATGGTATGCGCACGCCGGAAGCAAGCATGGTCGAGCCACAAGAGTCGCGAGTTGGGTGACTTTGTTTGTTGAGATGGTGTTGTTTGTAATTGCTTGCAATAACGTTTGTTGTTTGTTGAGATGGTGTTGTATCGTACAATGATGAATATGCCAGAACACAAAAGCAGCAAAATGATGTATTGTCTCTTTTTTGCAAGGGTGCGTGCTGAAACCTAGCACCTCTGAAAACAAGTTATTAACAGCGTCATGAAGATACAAGTCAAAGTTTGAAACTGGGAGATATTTTTAGCCAAGCAAAAGGTGTTGGCAAGTAGAAAAAACCACAACCGTTTATGGGTCAATATCTATCTAGGCCACTTTTCACTTCCACAATCTCTACCATGCCGCAAACTGCTTCCCAACACTCCGCTGTCGCCACACATCTGCTGCCCCACTGTTGGCTTGGCAACACTCTGCCGCCGCCACTCCCCTACCCCGCCCTCAGCTTCGCCACACTCTAACAGGGGAGTGAAATGTGATGGGAAATGTGGGTGGGAGGTGATGGCAATGGGAAAGGGAGCACATTGGGAAGGGAGAAGGTAAGGTGATGGCATGGGGGGATGAGAGGGGATGGAAGGGCGAAAGAGAACTGACCGCAATTGATGGATGAGAGTGTGGAGTATTGGAAGGGAGGTCAGGTCAGTGGGGAAAGGGAGGTTAGTGCAAGAGGGGGAAGGGTTGGTTGTGCTATAGGGGGAAGGGAGGTGTTGCTATGGTGTAGGGAAGGAGGTTGTGCTATAGGGGAAAAGGAGATGAGGTTAGTGGGGGAAGGGAGGTTATGCTAGAGGGGGAAGGGAGGTTATGATAGAGGGGAAAGTGAGGTTATGATAAAGGGGGAAGGGAGGTAAAGCTAGAGGGGGAAGTGAGGTTATGATAAAGGGGGAAGGGAGGTTATGATAGAGGGGGAAGGGAGGCCATGATAAAGGGGGAAGGGAGGTCATGCTAAAGGGGGAAGGGAGGTTATGATAGAGGGAGAAGGGTTTTTATGATAGAGGAGGAAGGGAGGTTATGATAGAGGGGGAAAGGAGGTTATGCTAGAGGGGGAAAGAAGGTTATGCTAGAGGGGGGAGGGAGTTTATGATAGAGGGAGAAGGGATGTTATGCTAGAGGGGGGATGGAGGTTATGCTAGAGGGGGAAGGGAGGTTATGCTAGAGGGGGAAGGGAGGAGAGTTTAGCAGGGGAAGGGAGGTGAGTTCAGCGGGGGAAGGGACCTCAGTTCAACAGGGGAGGAGAAAGGAGGTGAGGTCAAAGGAGGGATAAGAGGGAGGAACTTGAGAGGGAATTGAGGTGAGGTCAAAGAGGGAATGAATGTGATGTCAGAGAGGGAATGAAGGTGATGTCAGAGGGAATGAAGGTGATGTCCGAGAGAATGAAGGTGATGGTCAGAGGGGGAAGGGATAGGGCATGGGGGAAGGGGGGAGATTAGAGAGGGGTAATGGATGTTTTTCCAGGGAGTAGGAAAGTGAGGTCAGCGGGGAAAAGAAAGAGATGAACGGGTGAGGCAAGGTGATGAAATAGGGGGATGATCGGGATGGAAGGGGGAATGAGTCGATGATCGTATAAATGGTGATGGCTGGGGGAGAAGAGAGGATATTGCAGGTGATGGCAATGGGAGATGAATGATGATGGCAAAGGGGGATGAGAGGATATGGCAAGTTGGATGAGAGTTGATGGCAATGTGAGATGGGGGGTGATGGTAGGGGGGAAACTGAGGTGACGAAAGGAGAATGCAGCTTGTACATGGGTGTTTGAATGCCTTACAATTCGACAGCATGCAAATTCGGTAGTGCATGATTGATATTAAGGGCAAAGGGGGATGAGAGGATATGGCAAGTTGGATGAGAGTTGATGGCAATGTGAGATGGGGGGTGATGGTAGGGGGGAAACTGAGGTGACGAAAGGTGAATGCAGCTTGTACATGGGTGTTTGAAGGACTTACAATTGGACAGCATGCAAATTCGGTAGTGCATGATTGATGTTAGCTTCCAAGGTCATGCATGAAGTCCACAAATCTGTAGAGGGGGAAAATCGTTCTCAATGTGATTACAAATATAGTATACACCTTTGAAAAAAAGAATATTTTTAAAAGCTGTAGCACTTTTCGAAATTGTGTATTTTGAAAGCGAAGTGGATTGTAGTATGAATCACTCTTCTCTGCCTCGACGTGCCTCTCGCATTGCTACTGACTTGGTCATCGGCGTTTATGCCCACGTCGACGCTGACATCATTGTTCACCGGTCGAGGAGAGGCAGGTCGAGAAGGCTGCTCCGCCGCCCACTTGGCGCGGATGCCCAACTCGAAGAACCGCGCTAAACCTACTTGAAATAGGAAAATGCCATTGCTAAACAAGAAGCAAGATTTCCAGAATATAGACTTTACAACAATCCATATGTTCATACCGCGAAGGAATTTTGCGTCATCTTTTACACGAAGCCCGATCATCTCGTACAATGACTTCATGCATGCGGCAGGTGGGACGTGTCGCCTGAACCGGGGGCAGGATGTGTTAGAATACTAGGATGATAGACTAGTAGGAGATTAGGGTACAAGTATAGAGAGAGTTGTGTTGTACCCTATACAAGGTACCACATTGCAGCCTAACAGAACTAACATAACAAACAACATAAAAACATGTTTTGACACACCCCCATAGGCGAAGTGGGGGACAAGAAGTGGTCACAAGACCAGTCAAGAGAAGAAGAAAAGCAAAGTAAAGCTCAGGGTGGATCACAAGGTCACCACGCATTTTGAGCACAAGCAAGTGGCCACAAGGCCATTTCATATGCAGCGTTTATAATAGCAAAGAGCAGTACTCTGATCACAACCTAACAAGTGTAAGCACGCAGGTATACTCAATATATCAGTGTACAACAAGAGCAAGATCAAGAGACAAGCAAGTGAGCCAGAGTGGGCACAAGCCCAAGAGCAGAACAGAAACGCTGATGCACACTAGACCCAAGGGCCTTGGTGAAAACATCAGCAGTGTTGGCCCGAGTGGCCACGTAAGCAAGATGAAGCTGACCACGCTGCTGCAGCTCTCGCGTGAAGAAGTAACGGAGAGCAATGTGCTTCATTCTATGCTCCAGTCTCTGGTCTTGACACACGGCAATCATGGCCTTGTTGTCGACATACAAAACTGGAGGAGAACGAGGCTACTCACCCAAGTTGGTCAGCAGGTAGGTCAGCCACCGGAGCACCTGTGCAGCCAGCCATAGCCTCAGCGTAGATCTTGGCCTCATGGCTAGAACTAAGTACAGAGGAAGAGCGAGTGGACCTCCACGAGACAGAACCAGTGCCGAGGCTGAAATTGTACCCCTGTGTCGACCGGTGAGTCGTCTGGTCGTCAGCCCAAGAAGCGTCTGAGTGACTGATGAGAACAACTGGACCTTGTCCTCCAAGCACAAGCCCCATGCCCGATGTGCTGCACAAGTAGCGCAATACCCTCTGAAGTCAAAGCGCTTAAGGACCTGCTGCACCATGTGTGACTGAGTGAGGGTGATGGTGCGGCGTGCTCTGTCCCGGATGATCTGCAAGCCAAGGTAGCTCCGCAGCTCACCCAGGTTAGTGCAAGTGTGTCCGTCCTGCAGCTCCGCCTTCACCAAGGCCAGAGCCTCAGTGTCAGCAGTAGCAAAAACCAAGTCGTCAACGGTCAGTAGTCGAGGGAGCGAAGCCAAGAGCCGCAAGCGTGGTCCTCAGTGTGTCATGCCACTCGCGGGGTGCCTATCGGAGGCCGTAGACTGGTCGCCGAAGACTCCACTGGGTACCCTCAGGAAACGACCCAGTGAAGCCACGTGGACGGCGCAACCAGATAGCCTCGTGAAGGCTACCCTGCAAGAAGGCTGTCGAGAAGTCGAGGGAGTGCAGCTCGTAGTTACGCTGTGCTGCAACGTGCAGTAGCACCCGAAAAGTGGTCATCTTTGGGGTGGGGGAGATGGTATGAAAGTAGTCGACCCCTGTACATTGACTGAAGCCTCGAGCAACTTAACGCGCCTTGAAGACAGACGGAGAACCCGACGGCCACTTCACCCTGAAAATCCACATGTCATCGTCTATGTTCACCCCAGGTGGGGGAACCTCGTCGACGTAGGTGCCTGTGGACTTCAAAGAAGCCATCTCTGCGTCCATGGCTATCTGCCACTGAGGAGTACGGAACCGTAATTGCCTCTGCGTAAGTGCGTGGGGTTGGGATGTCTGGCGCATCCGCGTCTCCCTCTGGGCAAAGTAGCAAGGACGCGAGATGAGGAGCAGCGGCCGCGAGACACTTCAGCTCAAACTGCCTGTCC